GTGTGAGAGAGAGAGAGAGAGAGACAGAGAGAGACAGAGAGAGAGAGAGAGATTGAGATTTTTTTTTCTGAAGAATTTGTTCCTATGATTGTAGAAACTAAACATTCTCACTGCATGCTATCTCCACTGGAGATCTAACAATATTGGTGCATTAGTTCTGGATCCAAAATAACCAATAGTAAATTCTACTCCAAATTCAAAGGCCTGAGAACCAGAGCAGCTTGTAATTTAAGTTCTGATCTGGGTCTGTAAGTCTGAGACCTGGATCCCTGATTTATGCCCCACACTGAAAGCAGGAGAAGATTGATGTTCCACATTTTTCAATTTTGCAGCCAAGCAGAGAGGACAGATTCTTCTTTCTCTATTTTTTTTTTGTTGTTGTTCTTTTCCTGCCTTCATTGAATTGGATGAGATCCACATACTTTGAAGAGGGAAATGTGCTTTTTTCCAAGTACCAATTCAAATGCCAATTTTCTCTATAACATCCAAATATATTGTTTATCTAAATGTCTGGGAACTCCATGACCCAGTCAACTTGACATGAAATAACCATTACCCCATGCAAAGAGCAGAGTGATTATCATCCTAGGCAGAAGGAACTGCAAGTACAAGAAGCCCTGAGACCAGAGCAAGCTTAAGCATTACCAGAACAATATTCAATTAGTGTCCCTGGAGTTTAGGAGGTGGAGACTGACACAAAATAAAGTTGAAGAGATTAACAGAGACCAGGTGGTGCAAACCATGGGAAAGAATTTAGATTTTATGGCAGAAATTCTGGAAATCTATTGATACTTTTCAGCAGATCATGATATGATCTGATTAACATTTTTGACAGATCACCCAACTACCTAATAGATATGGCAGGGGGCAATAATGAAAAACAGGGTGATTAAGTATACATGTGTTGCAGCTCTCTAGGGAAGAGATGATGGTGGCTTAATTGGCTATCATGGCATCATTTAGCATTAAAACCATGCTAAAGGATGTAAACATGCGGGTCATTCTCTCTTCTTCCGTTATTTAATCATAACCATAACTTTGGTCACATACCCCCCTTGATTAAAATGAACACAAAGCTGCATAATTAGCAATATATTGTGTTCCATCAGTAAGGCATACTTTATAGTACATTTTAAATGGGATTAATTCAGATTAATCACAATTTTGATTTTATACTTAATCACATTATTGGTGAACATGGAAAAATGAACAGGAAGTAAAATGCTTTTCATCTAAGAGAAGAAAGGAAGGAAAGAGGAAGGGAGGAATGGAAGTTTAAAAGGAAGAAAGGAGGGAGAAAGTGACAAGAGAGAGGGAGAAATGATTGTTTATATCATATTTGCACGATAAGAAAAGAATCAGAAGAAGTCAGAAAAACTGTATACAGGACAAAGTTCTCCCACTCACTTGCTGTATGGCCTTGGGTAAATAAATCACTCAGGTCTTTATTTATATTTGAAATTGTCAGTTGAACAAGGTGTTCTAGAAAGTCTCTTCTATTCTCCAAATTGTTGTTCTGAGAATAACTTTGTAGGAGTTCTGCCTTGTACAATCCCACTTGTCTAATGCAACCCCATCTCGAGAGATAGGAGGTAACTTATGTGTACTTATTTTCAAGTAGGAAAGTTATGGCAAACAGAAGTTAAATGATTTCCTAAGATCACTCAAGCAGTTGGTAGTTTGGCCTGTGTTCTAATTTTTAAAATGTTATGAACAAATATCTAGATATGAAACTTCTCTATATCCTTCATATCTCTTTTACTAGTATTATTATTATTATTTTATGATACAGTTCCATAGGCTCCTGAGATTTCCCTTATCCCCTGCCCAGTCCCCCCCTTCATTGAGTTCCTCTATATCATTACTCAAGTATAGTTCTTCATACACAGTTATATGTCCATCATCGCGGGCGTGGACAATGGCAGAGAGTCCAGCATCCTATTGTCAAGATATAGTAAGGAGTTTCATTGTAAGTCCATCTTTGTTTCCAAGTAGATGCATACTACATTGTATCCTCACATCTGGATATGTTAATCTCCATTTCACAGTTACCGTATATCCCCTTAAATGAAAAGTCACAATACAAAATCAACAATAGGAAGAGAAATAGAAATTTACAATGCCATGAAATTAAATAACATGTTACTAGATATCAGTCTCCATTATACAGCTATTATACATTCCCTTAAATGAAAAGCCACACAAAAAAATCAACAACAGGAAGAAAAAAGAAATTAATAACATCGTGAAGTTAAATGACATGCTACTGAATGACTAATGTGTTGCTGAAGAAATGAAAAAGAAAAGCAAGAACCTTCTTGAAGAAAATGATGCTACTGTATGATCTATGAGTTAGTGAATACTTTAATCACAAGAAACTGTTTTGAAGAGATGAAACTAACAAAAATAAAAACATCAAAATCCATGAGCTATAGCTTCTGCTGATTTTTGTTGGTGAAGTGTGTTTCTTCTAGACAACAAATAGATGAGTTTTGTTTTAGTGCAGTCTACTAATCTATGACATTTGATTGAGCTTAAACCAATTACTTTCGGGGTTAATATGTATGGGTGGTAATTTGGTCCTGTAATTTTAGGAATGGGTTGTTCATTGACTTAGTCATCTGTTGTTATTTTACTTCGTATTTGCCTTTGGTTTTGTTGAGTGCTATTCCTCTTCTCTGTCAAAAGAACATCTTGAAATATCATTTGTAGGGCAGGTTTGGAAGAGGCAAATTCTTTTAACTTTTCCTTACTGTGGAAGAATTTTAAGTCATTTTCAAAGACGAAAGAAAGCTTTGCTGGATATGTTATCTTGGGCTGACAATTTTTTTTCTTTTAGAATCTGGACTATGTCATTTCCATTCTCTTCTTGCCTGTAAAGTTTCCTGTGAGAGGTCTCCTGTGAGCTTAATTAGCATTCCTTTATATGTCAGTTGATTTTTTTCACAAGCACATTTAAGGATCTTTTCCTTATGTTCGATTGAAGTGAGCTTGATGATCATGTGTTGTGGTGAAGATCGCTTTTAATCAAGCCTGTTGGGAGTTCTGTGTCCCTCCGGATGTTGTTTCCTAATTCTTTCTTTATATTAGGGAAATTTTTTCCCTTATTATTTCATTAAATATATCTGTAAAACCAGTTTCTCTTTCTGCACTTTCTGGGACTCCCATAACTCTTATATTTGGCCTGTCATAGTGTCTTTCAATTCTTGAATACTTTTTTTGGCCTGATCCAGCTCTGCTTCCAGCTTTTTGTTTGCTTCCCCCTGGTGACAGGAAATATATTCCAATTCTGAGATTCTTTTTTCTGCTTACTTCATTCTATTTTGGAGACTCTCCACTGTACTTTTAATTTGCTCTGCTGTGTTCTTAATTTCTGATGTATCAGCCTTGATTTGCTTTATTGCTGCTATTTCTTATGTAACATATTCCTTAAATTTCTTGAAATCTTGTATGTGCTTCTCATTTTTGATCAGAAGCTTTAAAATGAGTCTTATGGATTCTGGGTTCCCCATTTTCTCAATGTCTTCCTTAGTGAACTCTGAGGTTGACATAGGGTTTTGCTCCTTTGCAGGGGAGTCTTCAGTAATATTCATTTTGCCTTTGTCTCTTCTTTTGATCTTGATCATTGTACTTCTAGTTATCAGATTCTTCTCCTTGGGGCAGGTTTCTAAGCTGTGTCATCCACAGGTCTACAATGCGATTTTATTTATTGCAGTTGGTACAAAGCTCTTTACTTGCAGCCAATTGTGCCACTCGTTCCAGCAAGTTCCAGGTCTGGGTTTTTATGTTAGATTTCCACCATGGTCTCCACAGCCCCAGCTCCTGGCTCACCATTCTGCACCTCCTGTGCTATCGTGCTGAGGCTGCACTGTTGTCTGTACAACCTTTTTCCACTTCTGGTTGGAGCAGGTCCCAGGATTAGGGAGAAACCTGGTATACTATATAGCTAGGTTGTTCGTGGTGCTGACCTAACCAGAACCTGTTGTATGTTAGGTCTGCGTGCCACACGGACATATTTTGACCCATTGATGCCACAGTTGGTATTATTTTCCTGTGGGACCAGTGCAATCCACTGAACTTAGTTGAGTTCTCATGAGCTCAGCACATGCGCAGTTCACTGTTCTCACCTGCAGTCCTAAACTTTTGCCACAATGTACAAAATGGCACCTGACATGCCACTACTAGTTTTTGATCTGCTGGCCATCAGATCCGAGGGCTACCCATACCTGTCTTGGGTGGAACCTATACAATGCCATGTTGCTGCAGTTCACTGAGTCAGAAATGAGCTCACTCCCAGCTCAGCATATGCTAAGTCCTTTCCCTTGCCTTTGCCTCCTTATGCAAAATGGCGCCCAATTCGGCTCTAGGGGTGGGCTGTGAAATCCACCCTGTTCTCACATTACCCATCTGGGATCTATTGCTCTGTGTCTTCTCCTGGTCAAATCAAACAGACCAGCAAGGACAAACAGTTCTTTGTCTGGGTTTACCCTCCAAGCTCCCAATGAATGTCCCTTCCCACCTGGTTGCTGGTGGAGTTCCAGCTGCTGGTGGAGTTCCGATTGCTGTTAGCTGAATGCCTCTGGAGTATCAGTCACTGCAACAGCACACCGTTGTGTCTGCTGCTTTCCTGCGTCTGTCAGTCTCCAGGTACCCCTCTGCTGTTGTTCCGTCCTTTCCTATTTCCTGGAATGTATCCTCTCTGCTTCATGCTGATTAAATGTTTTTCCTTCTGTTTAAATGTGTCCTTATCCTATTCCGCCATCTTGATTCTCCCCTGTCCTTCATATCTCAAAAGCTGCTTTTTAAGTCTGATTCAATAAGGAAACAAATCACATACCACATTTGTTCCATGTGATTTGTCATTTGCTTGGCATCATGAAAAGAGTTTATCTGCATAACAAGCCATATTTAGTGCATAATAAGCCATCTAGATAGGCTACTAAGATCTAAGATCTCATACAATGCCTAACAAGTGGTAATTACCTTTTTTTTCCCTATAGCTGTACGATTCTGTGACCGGTGCCATTTGATCAAGCCAGATCGCTGCCACCACTGCTCTGTCTGTGCCATGTAAGTCATAGCCATATTTCCTCTGGGCTGAGCTTGGCCATGGATGGTTGCCTAGACAACAAAATAATTGATCCTAACCTGTATCCATGCCTAGATAAGAGCTTTTTCTTTTAAGTATAATGAGCACATGCCAAATGATGATGCTTCAAAGTGTTTCAAAGGTAGAAGAAAAGAAATAAAACTACATTTTAAAAATGAACTTTCTATTTTAGAACAATTTTATAGTTATTGTGATACTAGTTCTTATATGTGCCATACCCATTTGCCTCTATCATTAACATGTAACTTCAGTAGGATACATTTGTTACAATTAATAAATAAATGGTGATGTATTATCTGTAATGGAAGTCCATACCTTATTGTGGTTTCCTCAGTTTTTCCTAATGTTCTTTATTTGTTACAGGATTCTATTCAGGATATCAGATTATATTTAATAGTCATCCTATCTTTTTTCATTTTTTATTTTATTGTATTATTATTTTTTTAAGTTTTGATGATCTTTACATACTTGATTAGGGCACAAAGAATCAAGGGCTTAAGAAAAGTGGGTAAAAACATTGTTTCCACATTCTCTTTTTTCCTTCCTGTATCTGGGGAAAGGAGGAGATAAAGAGAGAAGCCACACCCAGCCTCCCAGCCAATCCAGGGGCCCCGATGTGGGGCATGCTCTGAGGGCACTGCTCAGGTTTTTTTTGATAGTTCAACAGTTCTGAGTTGCTGCTGATCTCGCCACTCCAAGCACGATGAAATCGCTCCAGAATCCGCTGGCTGACATAGTCCACCTTACAGTCTCTGTTTGCCCAGATATTCACTGCCAACATGTGTGTTTGCCAAAACAGGGTCTGGCACAATCTGTCACCCCAATCAGCTTGCACAGTTATCCTATCTTAGCAGCTCTTAGCTGCCAGGTTTTCTCAGTCTTCACTTGTTTATGATCACTGTGGCAATGTTCAGGATTCATGATTAGATATGTTGTAGAATATCCCTAAATTAAGACTTGTTTGGTGTTTTTCTGATGATTATCAGACTACAACAATATGATTTGGGGAAAAAGGCCTCAAGGGGTCAAGTTCCGTTCTTATTGCATTATATCTATGATACAATATAAATGTCATCACTGCATTGTTAATATTGATATGATTTAGGCAGTGTTTCTGAGGCTTCTTAACTGCAACATTACTCTTCTCTACATTTCTATAGTATAATCTTGGAGGGGAAGTCACTATACCCAGGCTACACTAAAAGAACGATCCTCCTTCTCCATGAAAGTGGAAGATCTTCTTTTGTAATTTGTAACTCTTTTTTTAAAAAAGATTTATATTTTAATTTTTATTGTAAAGTCAGATATACAGAAAGGAGGAGCGACAGACAGAAAGATCTTCTGTCTGATGATTCACTCCCCAAGTGATTTACAACGGCCAGAGCTGAGCTGATCCGAAGCCAGGAGCCAGGAGCTTCTTCCAGGTCTCTCACCCAGGTGCAGGGTCCCAAGGCTTTGGGCTGTCCTCGACTGCTTTCCCAAGCCAGAAGCAGGGAGCTGGATGAGAAGTGGGGCTGCCAGGATTAGAACCAGCACCCATATGGGATCCCTGCGCATTCAAGGGAGGACTTTAGCTGCTAGGTCACACTGCCGGGCCCGTAATTTGTAACTCTTATATGTAGAGGACTTGTCTCTTCTCCCGAGTTTATCTGTTTATACCAGTTTGATGGAATGGATGTTCATTTTTAAATGTTTTTGTTATAACCCAATACTACTTCATTTTAGAATTCAAATTCTTCCAGTTTTATAAAATACCATCTCTATGCTAATAGATATAATCAGTATGCTTTCTTCCTGAGTGCTTGCTCTAACATATCACTTGAAACCTTGATCAAGCACAGGTGGAAGCCATAAGTTTTCTGCTTTAAAAAGAAAATATTTATGGACTCAGTGCAATGTGACTCAATGGTTAAATCTTCGCCTTGCACTCATAGGGATCCCATATAGGCGCCGGTTCACATCCTGGTTGCTCCACTTCCCTTCCAGCTCCCTGCTTATGGCCTGAGAAAACAGTAGAGGACGGCCCAAAGCCTTGGGACCCAATACCCATATGGAAGCTCCTGTCTTTGGATCCGCTCAGCTCCGGCCGCTGCAGCCACATGGAGAGTGAACCAGCGGATGAAAGATTTCTGTGAGGGTGTTTGGTGTGTCCTCTTTTTCTCTCTGTGAATCTGGCTTTCTGATAAACTACCAACTTTATTTATTTATTTATTTATAATATAGAGTTACAAAGAGGAAGAGAGAGAGATATCTTCCATCTGCTGGTTCACTCCAGAGATGATTGCAACAGCCAGGGAGGGCTGAGACAGGCTGAAGCCAGGAGCTAGAGCTACATCTGAGTCTTCCTAATAAGTAGCAGAGTCCCAAGCATTTGTACCATCCTGCGCTGCTTTCCCAGGTTATTAGCAGAGAGCTGGATCAGAAGTGGGGCAACCAGGACAGAAACAGCACCAACCTGGGATTCTAGTGTTGCAGGCAGCTTCTCTCCCCACTACACTACAGTATCCTCCTCTTTTCATATATTTTCTTCTGTACTTTTATGAAGCTGTTATATTTTTATTTAAAAGATAAATTGATGCATGGAGGGACAGAGGGAAAGAGAGAGCCCATGTATTAGTTCACTCTCCCAAAACCCACTACAGCTGATGCTAAGCTCAAGCTGGAACCAGGAGCCAGAAATGCAATTCCAGTCTCTCACATCAGTTGTAGCAGCCCAATCACTTGAGCCATCACCACTGCATCCCAGGTTCTGCGTTGACAGAAAGCTGGTGTTGGGAGCAGAACTGAGATTCAAATCCAGGTACCTTTGAATCCATTTTGATCTCAGCTGCTGAGCTAAACTCTTATTAAACTGATTATTGGGGCCAGTGTTGTAGCATAGTGAGATAAGCCTTTGTGTGCAACACTGACATCCCGTGTGAGTGCCGGTTCTTATCTCAGCTTCTACACTTCTGATCCATCCTTGTTGGACTCCTGTTCCCTTTTGGGAGACCCAGAAGAAGCTCCTGGCTCCTAGTTTCCTTCTGGTCCAGCCCTATCCCCTGCCCCAGCTGTCGTGGCCATTTTGGGAGTAAACCGGTGGACAGAAGATTTCACTCTTGTTCTCTTGGTCTTTCCCTCTTTCTCAGCTTGCTAAATAAGTTAAACCATTTTAAAATGGCTATTGAACAGTAAAAAGAGATCTCCTGGACTTTCCTCTATCAATATCCCAGAGCTCCCAATCTCTTTTAAAATGTGAATTCCTAGGTAGGTAACTTGCTCCCGCCATTATCTGATAAAGTATTGCTGTGAATGCTATTTCTTGGGCTGAGGACACAGTAGTTTTGGAGTCACTGTACTGGAACTCTTGCAATGTGTGTAGTGGAACACTGTGAAAATACTGATGAAACGTTGCATTCAGTTTTGAGATCTTGCTTCATTTTCATGGCCTCACTTATCACACTATATTTTGTCCCCATTATAGGTGTGTATTAAAAATGGACCACCACTGCCCTTGGTATGTCCCTTCAATTCATTTCTGTCCTGTAAGAGGGTCAAGGTTATTCAATACATCCAGTTTCATATGCATATTTGTAACATACCTATTTATGCCGTGATAATTCACTGGGCTTTATATTTATGTGGAGGAAAGGGAAGGAGTAGCCTTTTAAAGCAAGAATAAATACACTAGCAAAGGTAGGGTAGTGAATTCCTGGAGTCACAAAGGTAATTACCTCTTGTCCATTAACTTTTGCAGTAGAGCACAGTAATGAAAAACAGCACAAGTAGTTCTCCTCTTTAATATTACCCAGTTCAGTTCTGTTTCTGCCTGGCTTAATGTTTGATATATTCTGAGTCATTAAATTCTGTATGTCTTCTCCAGATTTGATATGTCAGACCTGGAGAATCACTGTGCATTCACTTGACTACAAAGAAAACATGCCATAGCTTTACCAAATGTAGCTGTTGAGCCTGTGATAGGTTTTTAGCAACTAGGGTCCGGGTTTGTTTGGGTGTGATAATAATCAGCCCAGAACTATTCGACCAAATGTTTTTTGCACCTCTAAATGAAAGCAGAAACATGTAAGATGTGAGCTGATTTTTCTAGTCTGTTCTTGTTAAGAACCTTCCATTTCTGTTGAGTTTCTACACAGTACATAATGAAGCAGCAAGAGTAACCTGCTTCCATGCCTTCATACATTAATGTGCCAGTGTGTTCTCAATCAATAGGTCTTGATTCCAATTTTTTTTTTCTTTTTTAGGGTTAATAACTGCATTGGATTTTCCAACTACAAATTTTTTCTTCAGTTCTTAGCTTATTCTGTTCTCTACTGCCTATACATTGCCACAACAGTCTTCAGCTATTTCATCAAGTACTGGAGAGTAAGTTTTAAAAATCTTGAAAAATGTTCCCAGAACTAATGCACGCCCACTCCAATCTATGACATCATTAATTATACATATGCTTAGTTTCTGTAATTACTAAAGACTAGAATAATCAGAAGGAAAGGCATTAAAACCAAGTCTTCCATGTTGAATACTTTGAGATTTAGGAAGCTGTTGTCTAAAGATTCTAGTTAAATTAGTTTCTGTCTCACATGGGAATCTTGTTAAGGTTCCTCTTATTAAGATTACCTTTTGACTCCCAGTGATTCTTTATAGTATACATCTACCATCAATTTTTAACATCTGCTTCTTACTCCTTAGAGATGTGAAAAATGTTGAAACTATTTCTAAATCCCTAGTCCCTAGTTACCTATGAACCACCCCCTGCCACTGTTGTTATAAAAAATTTGTTTTTGTTTCCTTGGGCAAAGGACAATTGCAAAATTCCATCTGGTCAGAAAAATATACTGACTCACCTTTGCATATGATTGCAATGAAAATGGGGAGTCTTTGAACTTGTATGAAAAACACCGAGTTAAGAATGGCGAGAATTGGAATTTAATACTGGCTGTTACTTGCTTCACTGGCTCATTGCCATGAACAGATGAAACAGGTGTTGAACATGCTTTACCTTTACCTTTCAAAATATGATACTAGTGACTAAAATAAATTTTAAAAAATCTCACTTTCATTTTCCTTCAACTTGAAGATACCAATCACATCCCGTCAATTTTCCCTCCCCACAAAAACCTTAAGCTTAATTTTCGTTTATATGTGTATACAAGGTCTGGTATTAGTATAATGAAATGTATTCTTTTTGCGTGCTACTACTAGTCTCTGGAAGATATCCCTTCCCCACAAATTCAGCACTATTACTAAAACATCTGTGGTGAGGGCTGTCCGGAATGAACATGAATAGCAAAAAACAGATGTGGGCAGAGGTGCTAGTTACAGCTTTGGTTATCACGCAAGATCCTGTATAACAGGAATATCTAGCCTCAGCTGGAGCAGCAGTAGGGAAACAGCACGAATCCTGTGACCAGAATAGAGACTAAAATATAATGGTGAAACAGATAAAGGCAAGGCAGTTAAAACTTAAATAGCTTGGAAATTTAAATTATCGCTTAGTGTTTTGATCCTTGTCAGTGTAGAAAATTATATTGCTTCCCATTGTCCCTTAAATTTGTTTAATCAATGTAGATATTTAATAACATTAAGAATCAGAAATTATGGGCTTGGCGCGGTAGCCTAGCAGCTAAAGTCCTTATCTTGCATGCGCTGCCATGATCCCATATGGATGCCAGTTCGTGACTCCTGGCTCCTGGCTTCAGATCAGCTCAGCTCCAGTCATTGCAGCCACTTGGGGAGTGAATCATCAGATGGAAGATCTTCCTCTCTGTCTCTCCTCCTCTCTGTAGACCTTCCAATAAAAATAAATACATCTGAAAGGAAAAACAAAAACAAACAAAAAAGAATCATGAATTATACTATGACCCTCAAAAGCTGTTCAACTCAGAGTACCAAACAAAGTCACATCAGAAATGATGTTTTCTCATAAATTTTCTCCAGCTACAAAATGCTTTACCATAGCACACACCCTCACATCTTTTATTTTACTCCTTTCCATAGCACACAATCTGTATGACCTGTGTGGGATTCTTTCCACATGCTAGGCTACCACCCTAAATGAAAAGAGGGTTAGTTTCATCCAGTTGATGGAAAAGTGTCAGGCGGTCTTCACCACAGATTTTTCTTGTTCCCAAACACAGTATGTTACTGTTTAAGAATCACCTTTAGCTTCATAATAAACAATACTGCATTTCACACATTTTGCCTTTAGTCAGGCAGAGTCCGAATACCTCAAGGCCAGACACAAGCTGTATGCTTTTTTTCATTTGTGAAAGATGATATTTGGATATGAATTAATCACCAGAAACGTATCAGTTTTCAACAAGCAGTCCCAAATGTAAACATGGCCTTGTTTTCCTACTTCACTCATTTTTTTTCCTCCATGGTACACTAGATCACACCTGACAGATGAAAGGTGTGAAAACCTGTCTTGGCTTGCCCTCATAATCAAAAGGGCGCTGATAGTTCAGGGGAAAGCTTCTTTGTAGTCTCTTCAGTCAGTGAACATGTTAGTGTGTGCTTCAGGGCTGGCTTTCTCAGTTGAGTCTTCCCTTAAAATTAACAGCAAACACTATCATGTATTTTAAAAGCTGTGTATCAGGGAGAAAAACTGTCCTTCTGAGGAACAACCACCTCCACTTGTGGGGTTCTTGATAGTTTCTGAAGTACTTTCGTATCCATTGTCTCATCCAATCCTTATGACAATCCTATGAAATCAGCAAAGCAAGAATCATCAGTCTCATTGAGAAATGATCAGACTATGATTCACACTAGTTAAGTGCGTTTCCCAGGCTAACCTAGCTTGTAAGTTTCAATATCAAGGCCTGAATTTAAGTCAACCCTAAACCTATTAATCTTACAGACTGTATCATGGCCTTTTGTCTATACTGACTCTGCTACAGAGAAACTACTGTTTCTTTTTTTTTTTTTTGACATTTTATTATTATTATTATTATCATCATTTTAGGATACAGTTCCATAGGCTCCTGGGATTTTCCTTATCCCATCCCCAATCCCCCCCCCCACCTAGTTCCTCTATATCATTACTAAGGTATAGCTCTTCATACACGGTCATATGTCCATCATTGAGAGTATGGACAGTGGCAGAGAGTCCAGCATCCTATTGTCAAGATATAGTAAACAGAAACTACTGTTTCATAACAAAAAATTGAGAAGACCGCCAGACCATTTCTATGCTTTCAGTGTTAGCTTACAGTGAGATTTCAGAAGCAAATATTGCACCAAGACAAACTTATCTTTTAGTTCCATTTTTCCCAAAGTTTTTGAAGTACCTTTATATATTGTCTTCCACCTGGACCTTGAATCTCTTCATAGAGTCTATGAATTATTTCAGAAGATAGCAGTATTTATCTGTTAGTATTTCCTTACATTGCCTGTGATGATTATTGATTTGAGTGAATTGGATTGATTATCTCCTAAGAAAATATTTTTAACACTGAGAACTCTTTCCAAGCACAACACAACAGATATACTTCGGCATAGAAAGAGTTCTGCAAGAATAACCCGAGAGTGGAGGGAGACTTCCGGCAGAGCCACACAGCGTGTAGACTGATTTTATGTCCATCCCTCTTGCCCGCCATTTCTTATTGACCTTTTCAATGTAAAAAAATAAGTAAAATACATGTGAACTTTAAAATATTTTTTAAACATACACAAAAAGTAGAGACCATTAAAGCAAAGCCCCATTGAGATGAAAACCACTACAAAGCAATATATGAATGTTTCCTAGGTATGAGAGATACAGCAAACAAAACCAATCCTATTCAATTTGGGTACATAGGCCAAGATTTTGTAGATTTCATTTCAAGTAAGTCTGCACTATGCTTATTGTTGGGCTGCTCTTGCCCTATAAAATTTCACTCACACCTCACCACAGCAAAGTCATTTGACTGACTGGCTTACTTTCCCTCATCTTCAGCCCTCAATTATATACATCCCAGAAGAATCCCAATATTTTCTTATGTAAAAAAAGGAGTAAAAATAGCCTCTTGGAAGAAAAAATAAATCTGTACTCTGAACATATTAAATGTTGCCAAGCCTTAACTTTTCCTTTCCACACTAAACTATCATTCAAAAAGTAAGGACCACTTAGCATCACCTCTAGCTTTATTAGCGAAAGTGTTTGGAAATATCTCAAACAATTCATCACACAAAAATAATGATCATCATACAAAAGGAGGAAGTAAAGAATAGCCATGCCCCCAACTGGTCCCTCCAATACTGAACATGTTTTCTAACATTGTCTTCAGAAGACAAAAAATTTTATATGCCATTTGTGCTGAAAAAATTTAGAACGCTCATCTTGCTCAGGATTGTATGTATAACAAAGAAGAAGCAAGCAATTTGGCACCACATGTAATAAAGGTGTCCCAAATAATTATAAAAAATCTTTAGCCACGTATTACATATTTTTTATAATTACCCATGAAAACTCTGCTTGACTTTGTCTAAACAGCTATTCCACAGAATGTAATAAACCAGCACATTCCACGTCAGCTGTGAAAAAACAACCACACATAGTTTGCAGCCACTTTAAAGACAAATCATGACCTATAGGTGGGACATTTTTAAAATTCTACCTATGTGTTTTAACTTCCTACATAAATCCTTGTGACATTTTCAACACACATATGTCTTAGGAAAATGACATATAAAGAATTCCAGAATAGCTCACCTTGAGACAAGAGGATGAGCCATATGACCCCATGGTCACCTCTAGTCAGTGATTTGTAATTCTCAAACTTAATGGAGGACAGGCTTTAAAGGTTGCATGCCAGTTATGGCATGAGTGTGCCCTTTTCACATTACCTTTTGCTAACTGGTATGTTATATATTTTACACGGAACTGCACTTACAGAAGAATGTTTGTTGGCTAAGTATATATCCATAATGAGAGCAAATTCATGGTCATCAATAGAATACTTTCATAAAACTTACAAAATGTAGTTTCTTAAATTATACATGTGAATAATTACTGATCTATATTTAAATAAAAGTCTAGCCAAGCTGTATATTCTAACCTTTTGTTTTGTTTGCTTACTATTTCTTTTCCAGGGGGAATTGCCCAGTGTTCGCTCTAAGTTCCATGTACTTTTTCTCCTCTTTGTGGCCTGTATGTTTTTTGTCAGCCTTGTGATTCTCTTTGGTTACCACTGTTGGCTTGTCAGCAGAAACAAAACTACCTTAGGTAAGATTGCCTGTCACAGGAAAAAACACAGTAGATGATCTGTGGATGTTCCAAAAAAGAAAAGAACTTCTACTGCAGCATTTTAGCCAGTGATCTCTGACTGATGAAAGTACATTTTATCAAAAGTAAGTGCCACATTGATGACACTACGGACTAAATGAAGCCCACATAAAAACAAAAATAACCATTGATTTTTATAGTGTATATTGGGTGGTAATACCACAGATTTATGGTTTTAAGATTTCTAAATAGTGTGCTCCGTAAGGAATAAAGGAGAGAATCAGTACAGAAGAGAATAACAGAAGGAGGAGGTCAATAAATATAGAAGAATCTATTTTATTGCGCACATCAGGAATCAGAATGCTGAGAAAGAATCCAACCAACAACAAGAATCCAACATTCTTGAGAAAGACTAAATTGTTGAATATGTATAATAATTAAGTTGCTGTGTAGGGACTGTGGGGTTAAACACATTGACCAAGTGAGTCTCTAGGAAATGAGTCCAAAAATTATTTTTTTCTGTTGGTTGTTCTATACTCGAACCTTTGTTATTATGTGGAAAATTATATTTCTGATAGAGTCCACTACAGTAATTTTTTAAATCTCTGGTGAAGCAAATATTTATTATTATTATATAAGGAGTAAAGAAAAAGTGTTCATGTATTGGATGTTTGGCTAGGAGAGGTCTGAGAAAAGTTTAGTGTGAAAGCCACTCCTCATTGGAAATCATTCACAGATAATGATAACAGCTAAGAAAGTATTTGCCCCCGTTTTCTAAATCAAATATATACGTAGCACTTAGTTGTTAGGGTGGTAAATTAGCACATTTAGCTTAGAAATCTACTGCAAAGTACAAAAGTACTAAAAGCTTCATGATAACAGAGTTTGAAAATGAAGAATAAATGGGAAATGGTCAGATGCAGCCTGAGTCCAACAGTGAATGCGTTTGCTTAATGGGATAAATGTGTGTCTAAAAATAATTTGCACTAACATGGGCCAATTCTGTATAGTCTTTGAGGTGATTATAGTTCACCCAGCGACATTTTATCTGTAGTACAACTCAGTTTTTTGCATTACAGACTCCTTTGTGAACATCTTCATTTCTAAAATGTTTCAAAACCAAATCAATGTCATTATCATCTCTTTGTATGTCATTACTTTGGACTTAGCTCTAAAGATGGAAGCTATTTGGCTGGTATGGCCATTTAGATTCAAATCAAATGCTGTTAAATATATGCCCTTACTCTTTAAATCCAGCAGTGCAAAATACACATTTCCCCCATGGCTGCTTAATTATTTTTACCATCATATGTTTCCCCTGCCTTGCAGAAAGTGAAAGTAATGGTTCTTCATTTTGAAAAACAAGTTTGTCTTCTTTTCAGTGAGCTGATATTTACTATTTAGCAATAACTAATGAGAGACCTTTACTACCAAAGGAAAAATGTATCATACATAAGTCACATTCCTAGAAAACTGTAAAGTCATACTGTCTGAAATCTATTGCTTTATTGCTTTTTAAAAATCCTTTCTTCAATTTCCCTACCCTATTCTAGAAGCCTTCTGCACTCCAGTGTTTACAAGTGGCCCAGAGAAAAATGGGTTTAACCTTGGCTTCATTAAGAATATCCAGCAGGTGTTTGGAGATAACAAGAAGTTCTGGTTAATACCTATTGGGTCCAGGTAAGTAATGATTACAACTAAAAGAAGTTGATGCTGGATCATGCCTTGAACTGGCAAAGTCCATGTTGATTGTAGTATATGTCAGCTATCAGTCCAATGTGAAAAACTATTCCCCAAGAAAATGCTCAACAGAATGAGGATTTGCTGTTGCATATGTGTGTGGGCAATACAGGAAATAGTTGCTACATTTTAAATGAATAATATAACACCTCAAATGGTGTGTGCACTAGTTTAAAATATGAACAAATATATACAGCAGAAAAAATTACAAAGGAGGAATAAATACAGAAATGCTAAAAGCAGTAAAGTATTTTTCCTTACTCTACTTTTCATATTTTGGAATGAAGTGCTAATATTATTTGTATGAAGAGAAAAATTAAAATAAAAAGCAATAACAAAGATGAATAGATTATAATTCTTAGAATTGCAACAGTTCAGGGACAGCAGTGAACAAGAAATGAGCAGAGCAAGCTTGTGTCTTCTGAATGACTTTGAGAGGCAGATTGAATCATCAGCTAGACTAGTTGGGAGCAGTTTGTTTGCATCCTTCTTACAGTCCCCTTAGATCCACTCTTCGTACAGGGACCGTTCATTTTCACTCTTTGATGACATTTTGTTAAGGAATATTTTCTCTCATTCACTACCCTGATACTGCCTCTGCATCAGTTAGTGTCTATAGGCTTATTTATTTGAGATGTGGTGTATCCTACTACCCTGACCATAAATGATAAGACAAAGCTGTGTCATGAGAAGCATTGATTAATAACGTTAAGGTGCATGTGTGTAAAGATGGTCCCAATCACACACATACACACACATCACCAACCACCTCATCAAATGGAAGTATGCAGTGAATCTTCTCTGGAATAAAGAACAAAAACAAAAATCAAAGCCCATTCACAAATAATCAGTAAACTTACATTCTCTATAGAGTGCATTCAATAAAACCTATCAACTTTAAATTCATTACATTCATGAACAGGAGAAAAAGCATAAGGTAATAGCAAATGAAAAATATAAAACTTACTCAGATTTCAATTTGGAGTTTATTCAGGTAGATAGAAACAAGTGTTCAAACTGTTAAATCCTCCCCCCACCCATATATCCCATTTGTTAATGGCCAGAAATTAACCAGTGAGGTGGCCCTCACTTACTGTAGATTGTCACAAAGTGTATCATAAATGTGGATAATTGTCTCCAAAATCTGTATTTTTTAAATACCTAACTCTGACTCTCATAGTTCCTGATAACCATTTTTTCTATAAAGCCAAATAAATAACAGGATACCCATCCAGGCAATTATGTCCCTCCAATTCACAGCAACTTATCACCATTAGAAACTCAATGATTCTGCTCAAATTTCTTGAAAAATTAGAACCAAAGCAGTAAAATAATAAGATATAAATTGGGATCAGCATCACCAAATATGTGTGTGCGTATTGTCCTACTGGACATTGTGGAAAGTAAGTTATGATCAATACTGATACATACAAACAACATATGGAAGTAGAAGGTAATATAAGAAATAAATGATGCTATAACAAGGATATGTTATACCATCACTTTAGAAAATAAACTTAAAATGTTCCTGGGAATCTGCCTCTTAATTTCTGAAGATTATTACCCTTAAAAAACAAGTCCCTGTCAGCCACAAAAGTTCATGTCTTCCTTTCCCCACCAGCCCCGGTGATGGCCACTCCTTCCCCATGAGGTCTATGAATGAGTCACAGAATCCACTACTAGCAAATGAAGAGCCTTGGGAAGACAATGAGGATGACAACCGAGGTAAGCTGGCTCAGAAGAAGTCTTTTCTTCACCCAGCAAACCAACCATACTGTAAGATCCATCTTAGTACAACCAATATGATGTGTCAAAGACATAGTGTCCAGATGGATTATCATAAGCATGTCAGTCTTGTAAGTATCCTCTGGATGAAGTAGGATCAGGATCATTGTTTAACAAAATGTGGACATCTTGGGTAGAATAAGATGGAAACTTGTGAGGTCCCCTACCAGTTTGATACATAATTTATAACCAATCAAAGAAATCAAGAAAACTAACAAACAGTGCTGTACGTATTTGTAAACAATCCTGCCGGGTAGTGTAAAGCTTTAGTTCATCCAATGAATGAGCAGTACCTCATCTCTACCCTCCTTCATTCAGTTTAATTTAGCTTGTTATTGTACCCTCTTTCAGAATACTTGAAATGTGTTAACTCACTCATATGTGGAGTCTAAAAAGGTGACCTTGTAAAAACAAGGATAGTGGCGGTTACCACAGGTTTGGGAAGAAAGGGGGCATAGGGAACGAAGAACAAAGTTTGATTAGTGGATGCTAAGTTATAGCGGGATAGAAGTAAGAAGTTCTGGGCTTCTCTTGAATGGTAGGATGTAATGTTAAAGTGGTATCTATTTCTCCATAGCAAAGAGAAAGATAGGATTTTGGATGATTTCATTGGCAAAAAAGATGTTAAATGCCTGAAGAGATAAATATGTTTGAGATGTATATATGTCCCAAAATATCACATAGTTTCCCATAAATATGTATAACTTGTAGATGCCAATTTTTTTAATAAAAAATGAAAAACAGTAAAAGGCATTATATCAGGGTAAGCCTTCTCATACATGGTAGTCTACTTTTCTAGAAGATAAAAGAGCAAAGGAAAATGAAGGAAGCAGAAATTTGCTCCTCCAATTTTCTCCTGCTAGATCATTGTATCATCTCGAGGCTTTTGGTGAAGAACTCAGTTTTATTCTCATGTTATGTATCCCCATTGTCAGTCCTATGCTTTCTGTCTACCTGTCGCTCTGCCTACTTCTGTGCCTCTAACATCTACCTATGTTTCGAATAGCAGGCAGCAGAAACTGGTTTATAGCTGCTGATCCCAATAAAGCAGTAGCCAGTGGCAATTTTGAGTGAAGACTCATAATAGCTAACACAACCTATACCTGTGGTGAGTGAGACTGAAGGACATTGAAAGGCACAGAGGAAAACCAGCATTTCTGAACTTTTACCCAGTTAAAATATGCAGGCCCAAGTTCTAAACCTGGAAGTTTACTTTTAGAGCGAAAGCTTTTTGCTAGGACTAAGGAAGACAAAACAACCATAGTTACTGAAGAAAACAATGTTTGCCCAACCCAAAGAACACAAGCAACAACCTTGCCTCCTGCTGACTATTGGAAATCTGAGTGTATTTTGACTGAACAACCTTCAGTCTTCAAGCTTTCTGAATATACTTTTACTTAGAATAATTATAGATAATAACTCTGAAATTAAGAAACCTAAACTTGGGGCAGGGTGGGGAGGAGAGGCTGCTGTGATGGCTCAATTGGCTAATCCTCCCCTGGAAAGCACTGGGATCCCATATGGGCACCAGTACTTGTCCCGGCAGCTCCACTTCCCTTCCAGCCCCCTGCTTGTGGCCTGGGAAAGCAGTCTAGGATGGGCCAAAGCCTTGGGACTCTGCACCCATGTGGGAGACCAGGAAAAGGCTCCTGGCTTCAAATCAACTCAGCTCTCGTTATTGTGGTCATTTGGGGGAGTGAACGAGTGGATGGAAGATTTTTCTTTCTCTCCTTCTCTCTGTAAATATGTATTTCCAATTAAAAAAATCAGTCTTTAAGGGAAAAAAGGAAGAAACAGACCTAAACTCTCCCCAGCTTTAGGCAACTGCTTAGTCTGCTTTCTAACTGGGAATGTGTTACACTGCTAGGAGTAAAGTAGCCAATAGTTACTGGTTGTTCTAGGCTTGGTTAATACCAAATTTTTTTATTATTATGTGACACAGTTTTACAGGCACTGGGATTCCCACCACCCCTCCCATAACCCTTCCCCATGGTGGATTCCTCCATCGTGTTGCATGACCACAGTTCAAGTTCAGTTGAGATTCCTTCATTGCAAGCATATACCAAGCATAGAGATCCTCATCTTATTGCCCAGATAAGTTCAACAGCTTTTTGGAGAGACCTTCTCTGGTCTGAAGGTAGAGCCAACAGAGTAAAAACCCAATCAATCAAAAGCCCCAACATTGACATTTGCACAATTGAGGTGGATAACCGTTATAGGAGGGGTGAGCAGAGAAATCTTCGGTACCTTGGTGAGGAGTACTTGCTCTGTGTCCTGCTTAGCAAAGTATGTGTGAGTCCATGCTGACCTAGCTTTCCTGGTTGTTCTCTGTTTATCTATTCTAATTTGTGTGTGTGTGTGTGTGTGTGTGTATGTATGTGTGTGTGTGTGTGTTTGGAGGTGGGGCTCTGGAGCGACCCTGATGGTCATTGCAGAGAGGGTGGGGACCCATCGTTGGAACTAAGTAAGGACAAGAAAAAGCCTCTCTCCTTAGTCCCGAAGGGAGTTTACTGTTCTTTTGATTCCAAGGACCGCTCTGGATTCCTGGCTGTTGTTCTGACGTCCTTGGATCCCACAAGGAAGATTTCGGGCTTCTTTCATCCCGTGAGGTAGATCCAAAAGGGGGTGGGGTGGGAGGCCCTCTGAGTTCTTGGGCTCCGAAGGCATTCCAGTCCCCCGTGGTCTCTTTGGCAGTTGGGATGCAGTCCTTGGTGCCCATACTGATAGTCCTTGGTGGGGATCCGGGAGTCTCCGGGTGTGGGATACAGGCCTCTTCCTGTCGTCCTGCTCCACTCTGGGGTCCACCCCTGCTCTGTGCATATGTCCTCCTGTTAGTAGGTTGTCAGGATCGCTCTTGGTTCCCCCTGTATGTCTTTATAACTGTTGCCTAATGTTGTTTTGAATCTGTTACCAAGAAGTTACCTTTCATTTTCCTGGTAAGTTACACTATATGTCTTCCTCACACATTCTAAGGCTATGGAAAATTTCTTTGCTCTCCGCCCCATTCCTGATTAGCACAAGGTTTTGAAAGTGTAAAAGGTTTTAAAATTGTTCAAAACACATGGGTTGGGACAGTATTAATCACAGGTTTATCTGAGGAAGATTTACTGTCCTTGGGAATCTTTAGGATTAATTCACGTCCCCAAAACACTGTAGATTCAGCTAGAAGCTATCTACCAAATTTGTGTTAATTGTACCAGTGTGTCAGCATAGTTGTTTATCCTGTTTTTTAAAATTTTTAAAGATATGGTGGAAGTTGCACCATAGTGTGGCAGAAGGTGGGTGATGGTGGCTGAGGGACGCATTCCCAGCCCCCAGGCATGCCACATGCCACTGTGTGGTTTGAGAACTGCAGACTGTTCTGGGAAAGGGTTCTGGGAGTGTGTTGGAGTGAGGACTGCTGAATACATGTTTGACAATGGGGGGGGGGGTGACTCTGGGGATTTCTGTCAACCAGACAATTGTGCTCATGGTTATGCAAGGGAGCTGAGACCTGGTAGGGCATGTCTGGGTCAGGCCAAGGCACCCAGCCATGTGGGAGACCTGGACTGGGCTAAGTGGCATCACCCACTTCCCATGAGCACACACATTAAAGCTTGGTTGGGCTAGGCTGCAGTACCAGTGTGACAGTTTTGGAACACTGGGTGGGCCACAGTAGACTGGGTCGCAGCACCCACCAAAAGAGAGAACCAGATCTGGGGGCTGATTTTGTAAGGGATTTATGAGGTCACCTCTGTGGGACTGCAGCATCTGTCAGTTGCTTGAGAGCTGGGGATGGTGATGGGCTGAGCCAGGATGGACTGGAGAACTCAACAACACTCATTTGTACCAGGGCTGGGAGGAGGCTTGGATGTGCTAGGTAGGCTACAACATCCACCAATATATGCAAAGGTCTGGATAGACCATAGACCATGGCACCTCCTGGCATTCCTAGATTCTGGGGCTGGGGAACTTGGGAAACTCCCATGCTAGGCCACAGCTTCCACTAGAGAGCACAATAACCGGGAATGGTAATGGGCCAAGCCAGGCAAAGCCTCAGCACTCCTCAGTATATGTATGGGCCAGATCTATAGGCAGGCCAGGCTGCAGCACCCACTGGCACACTGAAGGTCCAAGACAGAATGTGGGCCACATCCAGCTGGGCTAGGCTGCAACACCTGCCAGCATACACAAGGTCCATGGCTGGGACCAGACCTGGTAGGAGAACTTTGAGGAGTCCCTGCTGGGTTGTAGCTCCCACAAATGAGTGCACGAACTGGGGCTGAGGGACAGACCAGGCTGTGCAAGATAGTACCATCCGTCAGCATGTGTGTAGGCTAGGTCTGGGGGCAGGATAGGCTGGGCTAGACAGCAGCACCCGCCAGTTCACATCAGAGCCATGTCTAGGATAAGCCAGAATGGACTAGGCTATAGCACCTACTGGCAAAAGCTGGATTGGATGTAGGCCCCTAGGGCTAGGCCACAGTACCCACCATGCGAGGAATGGGGATGGGCCATGCCAGACTAGGACATAGCACCCTCTGGCACATGCAAAACCTAGGGTTGGGGGTGGGCCTGATAGGAGAACTTTGGGGGTATCCTTGCTAGGCCACTGGTGAGCATGAGAGTTGGGGCTGTGTGTGGGCTGGTTCAAACAGGGCTGTAGCACTTGTCAGGTGGCATGTGAACTAGGTTTGGGCATGGACCAAGCTGGCTAGGCTGCCATACCCACTGGTGTGCACAAGAACCAGAATGAATGCAGGCCAGCCACGTTAGGCTGCAGCCTTTGTTGACATGTGCCGGAACTGGGTGCTAGTCATATTAGGCTGGACTGCAGTACTCCCTGGCAAGTGGAAAATCTGGGGCTAGCAGTGGGCCTGATAAAGGAACTGTGGGCACTCCCCTGCTAGGCTGCAGCTTCTGCTGGTAGGCATGAGATCCAGGGCTAGGCGCAAACTGGG